AACAAACAAACAAAAAAAAAGACACCGAAGAACAATAATTAAACTTGAAACTGTTATTATTCACCACCCCGGTGTGGGTGGGGCTGAAAGTGTCGTGTGTTAACTCAATATTATGTTGAAAAAGATATTTTATTTAAGTTACTTCAACAGTATGTTTTGAATTGTTGTTTTATGGATTTATTAATAGCTAGAGGTGGAAGTAAGCAGTTTGCGTTGTTTTGTTTTTTTTTTCACACTTTGTTTCATTTTTCAGGTCGTGGTTGGGATTTTATTGATCCTCAACAGCCGTTACAACATCAACATGCCATCAGATCAACATAAAGCAGATCGTTTGAATAACTTTACAATGATTGGTATTTTCCTTATCACGGTCATCAATATATTTGTGTCTGCATTTGGATCTTCCAAATAGGCTGAGAGATGCCAGGTTTCGTGTCAAACATTAACCATCCTTATTTGACGAAAGCGAAGACGTCTCAGAACTGTCTGCTTGTTTGAAGGCAGTCCTTGTGCATTGTATTTGAGAACAAACATTCATCTGTTATCATTCATTTTATTTGATTCATTTTAAAACAATCACGTTTCTAATCTCAATAATTTCGTAGTGTGTGAACGTCACATGTTTGTTTTACAGTACACGAATATTATATCATTAGTGTCTTTATTTTAGAACAGTCATTTGTCTGATCTTCATTAGATAGTGTTAAAGCGAAATGTTGTTCATATTCACTTAGGTGCTAATCTTTCTGTTGTCTTTTTTTTACCACCGTAACGTAGAACTCTTGTTCTGAATATGGGGTAATATGTTTTAATTATTATTTTATTGAGTCTTGTTTATAAGAAAGTTTTAACCTGAAAATGGGGAAATTATAACTATATATATATATATATGTATATATAAAGACATTTTTGTAACCGTTGTTTTATGTATTAATGTAGTCAGCATTTTGTAATGTGCTGTGTTTTATACGGTTTCCAATTCTTGTCTGTTGTTGTTTTATATCTAATATTTTTTTCATAGTTTTAAATCCATCGTGTCTGTGACTACAAATAAAATCAAACTTATTTATTAGATAACATGCTAGTGACTTGCAATGTAGTGATCCTAAAGTTGATGGATGACTAAGAGATGATGAAGATCAGATGTGATACTTTTTATATCGTGTTTATTATTGTTTAAATATTCGCTTTCCAAGTTACGTCCTGTCATGTATAAACATATAGAGGGAACCACCTCTGAAATACCAAAGTTTGGATAAAATACTTTTGTGATTAGTGGACTTTACTCTTCACCAAGTAGAAAATGCCTAATGTGTAACATTTAGATTAAGAATGTGGAGTTATATTTGACTCTTGGGAGTTCCAATTGCTCAAAAGGCTGCACTTGTTTCAATACTCAGGAACGTTAGATTTGAACCAAATGTTCTCGATATAAAAAAAATTGTGTTTAATGATGTTTACAAATGTTGATGGTCATCACTTGAATGACTTGATCTGTGGTCAGAAAAGAGATTTTTTTTACTACATGACATTGCATAATGATGTAAAAGGATCTCGACGGTTGATGTGGTTATACACAAGATTTAAAAGAATCTTTAAGTTTGGTGTGGTTATTCATTGATGATGTAAAATATATTAGAGTTTGAATTGGTTATACATTGATGATGTAAATTGGTAATGAAGTTTGGCGTGGTTGTAGATAGAAGACGTAAAGGGACCTACAAGTTTGGCGTGGATATAGATAGAAGACGTAAAGGGACCTACAAGTTTGGCGTGGTTGTAGATAGAAGACGTAAAGGGACCTACAAGTTTGGTGTGGTTATAGATAGAAGAAGTAAAGGGACCTACAAGTTTGACGTGGTTATAGATAGAAGAAGTAAAGGGATCTTGAAATTTAATGTGATTTATACAGAAAGTTTGTATAGAAAAATTTGTTAAACTATCAATTACAATATCGGTGAGTCAGAAGAATTTGAACAA